CAAAGGAAACAACAAAACAAAAGCTGCAAACAACGCACAAACAGATCCAGAACCTGCTGTCTTTCTTCAGACCTTGAGAGGGCAACCCAAGCTCTCTGCTTCTCCCCCAACACCAGGACCTCTCTTCTCTCTCCTTGCATTCTGTTTCTGGGGCTTGTCACTTTCCTTGTGCCTCTATCCTCATTTACTAGTCATCAGTTGTAGCTTGCTCCCAGCTTGCCTGCCAGCCAGACTGTTAACTGCTAACTACCTGCCTGTGGTTTTCAGCCTCTGAAGGCTGAGCCCGTCCTTACAATGTGTTATATTTTGAAATATCAGTTTAGGGAGTTCTGTGAAAACCCTTTATTTTGATGCAGTTAATCATTCAAGATTATGCAAGTAGTGAGTGCGTCTACACATGCACCCCACTGCACAGTTGGTACTGCACAGTCATTTAATTTTTGCCTTAGCACGTACTAAATGACTGCGTAGTACCCACTGGTACTGTGCAGTTCTGGCGGTGCATGGGTTGTTTCTGACCCTACTGAGCAGCAACAATGAGCTACTGTGCAGTAGCAGCTGTGTTACAGTTGGTGCCCACCGACGCTATATCTCTGTAGCGTCTCATGTAGACATACCCAGTGTCAACTTCTTGTCCCTATGGAGTAGAGTACTTTCAAAAGAAAGATCTAATTCAGGACCAGAACAGGGAAAGGATGACTTTGAGGGTACTAGAAGGCCATTAATAACCAGAAACTGAAGTGGGACTATATACGATTGGGCATGGGATACAGAGCTTTCTGCTTCAGGGTACCATTTGAGAACTATGTTGGTAACGTGGTGGAAGTTATCCCCATCTGATAACTTCCTTCTGGCCTCACCCTGAAGTATGTTGCTGGGTCTCTGTCCCATTTCCTATTGAAAAAAAAATTATATATGGCACAAAAAAAACCCCAAAACCCAACCAAAAAACCAAACAACCCCCCCTTACCAGCACAGCTGGCAGTTAATGTACTTGTTTGTAATCCTTGTGGTGGCACAGAAGCTAAATGGATGGTGGAGATAATTTATTCTTTCAGTGATGCAAATAGTTCCTTTAGAGTAGCCTCAGAATAGAATGAGAAGTCCATCTGGGAAGCTTGCAGTGCCTAATCTGTAAAGCAAAAAACTTTATTCTCTGGTCTTGAATATGTTAATAGCTTTTATTGAACCAACTACATTGCTGTAAGAGGTGCTAAACAAGCTTTTCACCTGAGAAAGCAAAATCAAGCAAAACCACCCGAGGAAGAGTGTTTGGGGCCCAGAAGCTTGTCTAACATCTATCTCAGTTGTGTGGTCCAGTTAAGGACGATCCCAAACAAATCCTGTTTCTTGTATGTTTCCTGGGAAATCATAGCTACAATACTTTAGCATTTCTTTGGATTTATTGGTCCATCGCTGAATTCATACACATATACACTTTTATGTAGCTTTGTACAAAAAAAATAAATCAAACAAGCACTGAACATTTTCACACTACAGAGTTTACAAAAGCACTGTTATTGTTTTAAGTAACATTTTTGCCAATCAAATGGGAGTGGTTTTGTATGCTGATACAAATCCTAAGGGAAAAGCCATAAAAAAAAGAAAAGAAAAGAAAATTGTTTTTAGTTTAGCAAGAGAGTTTGCAAGCAAGAATCCCAGCCCAAAGCCCTTGAATGCTACACTCTCTCCATTGGCCCAAACGCGTCCCAGAAAACAAAACAAAACAACAAAATCCAAACCCTAGTCTTGTTGGAATATGTAGCTCACCCAGACAACTTCTGCGTCACGGGGCATAACTCCCAGAATTCTAAGCTTGGCCTGTGAACTGAACAGATGGGACAGAATTTTAAATGGCCAGAAGCCCTTCACACATTGTATGATAATTTACTGGTGCAGTACTCCTTACTTAATCAGAAAATCTGTTATATGAGGTTGCGTCCCATGGAACCTATTTAGCTTAACGACAGCAAATGGTAACGGATGCTGCTTAATCGGGACAGCATTGCCAACATTTCTGCTTAATGGGGACACGTTTGGCTGGTGCCAGTGGGTTAAGTGTTTTTTAACCAGGTGTTTAATGGTTGTGAAATTCTAGATTCTAGTCTTTGAATACAGAAGTTGCCAAATAAAGGTGAAGAGAAGAAGTAAAGATCAAATGCTGTATAAGTCTTTTTTTCTCCTCGTATATTTGTTCCCTATAGCATTTCTCCTCCATTTTAAGTTGGGGGTTTTTTTTTTGGACAGCTTTTTCAAATGGCTTTTTCTCTTTAATTGAGACAACCTATTAATTAGAACAATAGGCCATTCACCAGGGTGTCCCAATTAAGAGGATTATCCTGCAATTTGAACAAAATATCACTTTGCATGGTAGCTAATGCCAATATCCAGCCCAGGCAGACCTAAAACCCAGCTAAATATGGAAATTTGGTGTTATATTTTCAGTGGGAAAATATTAACTTATGCTGTCACAAAATGACATGGTGTCATTTCTATAAAATACTCTTAATGGTTTGTCTCCTTGGTTCTTTTCTATGTCAAGGAAAGTCAGGACAGACTGCTTTACTTTCCCCTTCACTACTGGTCCTAAAATGGATCTTGCATAGGCTTGGGCAAGAGGCATTTGCATGTCTTAGGTAATGTGTTTTAAAATTCGATTCCAAACAAGGCAAATATTTTATAACAAGTTATCTGTTCAAATTGGATCTTAGTGGGGAGTGTAGATTTCCTTTTGACCAGATAACTTGGCACAATGGCCATGTCCTAAAATATTCTTTCAGTTGTGAAAGATTCTACTAGGTTGAAAAATGTTCTGTATATTTGAAAGGGAACTGTCAGTATCTTAAAATTTGATGAAAGTGTATGACCTGCCATTGTAGCTACAAAAAGCAGACAGGGGATGATGGAAATTTTACTATTTCTGTGTGCAGGGCCAGAAGTGGTGCAGGATTTTTAAAAAGCACTTAAAATTGTCCTAGGTATGCTCGTATTGAAGTCAACTGGGATTTTATCATTGATTTCAGTAAAAACAGAATTAGGCCACTACTGCTTTTGATAATCCCACCCTTAACATCTAATATAAAATGCAATAAGACAGCTATGTACAAAAAATGTAGTTTATAAAGGCAGAAATGTATTCATATACATTACGCAAGAGGCACAAAATACTTTGCAGTGGGTTCTTTTGCTTATAGCAATTTTACACCCATATAATTCACTTGATTTTGTTGAATTAGTTCATATCAATAATAGTAAAGGAGAAGTAGTTCCAGTTAGCCGAGCACTGTAGTCTTTAACTAAGATTTCTTATGTTAAACAAATGGATCTTAAGTTCAAGTTTCAGACCTTTATCGTTGGTTTGAAGGCATATTTCCTGTAGGCTATGAACAGACAATGCACTTGTCCCAGGATAAAGCCTTTTTTCCTGGCATTATACAAAAGAACATGTCCACTGTTTCGGTTCAAGCCCTTTTGAAGCATGGTGGATTAAATGTACTAACACTTTTTCCTGGGACTTCCTGTTGTATGTCCATATGGTTATTGCTGTTCATTCCAGGGACACACCTGCCAGACTGTATACTTTCACTGGCCACCTACTGGTGAAGGAGCAGCAATGTAGTTTAAAAGAATGATGTGTAAATGACTGTGCCACTCCTGTTTTCATCTGGGTCAAACCCTGGGACAGTTGGTCCTGGGCCAGATGAGACATCTGTTTATAGCCATAGAAAACTTTAGCGCACAAACCAACCAACCAAACACCCCTTTCAATGTTAGTAATTCAAGAAAGGCAGGGTTAAGACCACTTCTCAAAACAGGTGTAGAGGAGACAGTTTACAAAGTGATGATGAAACAAATTGTGGTACTTTACAGTACCTGGAATCTTGTCACCCGGTGCATTCTGAATTGTATAAACTATTTTTATGTAGGACAGAAATACTTGTGCTGGATGTTGACCTGATGAAAATGGATGAAGGCCATATAGAGGCTGTCCCAGCCCAGTCAGCCAACTTAATTTCTGCTGGTGGTATTTGATTTATTGGCACTAACAAGTGGAAGGGTACCTTATGAGTGGCTTTACTGCTTGTTTTCTGAAAAATCCCAGAGTATAAATTTGTTCAAAAGGCACTGTCTGGAGGATTCTATTTTGTCACCCTTATGGTTTAATATATATATAGGGCAAATAAAATTAGGAAGATTTAGTTTGCAGTGTCTTAGGTATGCAAATGACAACTAGCTTTGTATTCCCGTATCTTTCATTCCTACGAGGGCATTGGGCTGATTTGATTGGTGTTTAACAAAGTTGGTCACCAACTAGTTGAGACTCAGCCTAGGCAAGAGTGAGTGCTTATGGAATTAGAGAAACAGCTGAAGGAAGTAGTAATAAAAATATGTGGGTATCTCCCTCTCTTTTTATATAATTGAGGCTAGGGGGTATTATATCTAAAAAGTGTACCTGCTCTTTGTTTCCAGGTACATTTTTGTAGAATTTTTTCCTGGATTTCCACATGCTTCTGGATGTCCAAGTAGTCATAGTTACTAGCCATGCTTTTTATTATTTGCCCTTGGCAAGAAGGTTGCAGACTTTCTTTCTAGGTGTGGGACCTTGTCTTTATCACTTCAAGGCAGAAGTAACGTAATTAATGTCACTTAAGGCTAATTTAACATGCCACATAGAAATTGTCCCTGGTGCTGATTGTGGCAGAGCATCACTCTTTTATGGTGTTTTTGATCAACAGCATATTGCACCCATGCTGTGCAATCTCTACTGCTTTGTCAGCTGACAATTAGGTGAAGTTTAAACTGTTGACTTGACATGAAGCCCTAAATGTTTTTCTGGATCCCATCTACACGATAGGAGCTTGTCTTCCAGTGCGATATCATGGCAGCCATTATTATCTGAGGCACTCAGTGCAGCAACCCAGTGGATTTAAAAAGATGGAGCTGCAGGCAGGGCATGATGCCTTTGAGAGCCATGACACTGGAACTTCTTTCTTTCCCAGATCTGTTACCTCCTTGTCTTAGTGAACTTCAGGATAACCTGTCTGGCTCAGATGTTTTTTTCAAGTGTTTTACTGAAGGAGAATGGAAGGATATAAAGGTCTGTCTTTTTTTTTTTAAGTTGTTTTCTTTTTTTCTCTCCTGAGGAGTAGTTGACATATATGTTCATGGTAGAGTTGTTTGGAAAAAAAAAAAAGCAGAGGGGAAAATATAAATGGGAGGAAGAAATTTCCCCCTTTTAAAAATTAATGTTTCAAATTGTTGACCAAATTCAACCTGTTTCAATTCAGCATTTACTTTTGAAAATATTTTGTGATGGGCTTACCCTCTAGTGAAGTGCAGCAAGGAGAAGTCAGAACAAAACCTTTCCTGTGATGCTCTTTTTTTCAGACTTAGGCTTTTACATCTCAGTCTGCAGGTTTTGGTGTCATTCATTCATGTGAAGCTGATGAGGGAATTAACCCCTGGCTTCCTGTTATTAGATAGTGCTGATGCCCCCGTTGTACCTGTTAGGAGATCCTGAGCAGCCCAGATTATAACAATTCCAAATCATAACCCTGGATCAAACACTACCTACTGATGTCTTTACCAAGAATAATCCATTCCCATTGTTCTAATTGGCCCACTCACAAAGAGAAGTACAGTGCTCGGTAATATATTTCTGTAGGACCAGACCCCACAGTTATTCACTGGCTCCAAAGTGGAACTTCCTTTTCCCATTACTAAGCACATGCCACTCCCCTTTGGTGTATAAAATTCCAGAAGTATACCACTGAGAACAGGCTAATGTTAAAGTGACATTGTCATGCTGGGTTATGGGTGACCGCTAGATCTGGGGCCACTTGGGGATTGAGGTGCCAAACAGGGTTTGGAGGAATGAGCAGATTTGAAGGACAAGGCAGGTCAGGAAGTCAGGAATCAGTCCGGGAGCAGGGTCTAAGAACAATCCAAATCAGTACGTGGAGGGATCGGGCAGAGAATGGAGTAAGAGAGCAAGCTGGGTCAGGAAACCAGGAGATCAAGCAGAGCAGAGTCAGAGCACTAGCTGGAGGGAACAGCAAGGCAGTCTGGGATCAGGTTAAGCCCTGTTGCCTGGACACTTCCTATTCTGGGTCAGGGCTTTATATGAGGGCAGTGGAGGGTTAGATGACCCTGGCTGGTCACTTTAGGCCCAATGGTGGGCAGAAGGCTAGGCTTTGCTGGAGGCTCTAGGACAGCCATGACCAGCTGGGGTGACCAGATGTAGGCTGGCAGGCTGGGGTGAGTAACCATGGTGGTCAGGCCAAGGCTCCAGGCTGAGAAGGAGGCATTCAGGTGATTTAGGAAATGAAGGGACTAGTTGTCAGATAAAACTAGTAACAATGGGTGCAGTTTGCTGCTCACCTGGGGCTTGTCAGGGGCTGAACATTAATATGATTAGTATACTAGTCAAAGGCTCCCTTCCCACCCTTCCTTCTGTGTAATTACAGTGCTGTTTACACATGCACTGGATTCTCAACCAAGCGGTGCAGTGGTATTTACATTGTGAAGCTTTTGGAGGGGAGCCTGTTAGCATGTGTGCGTGTGCATGCATGTGTGTGTGTGGTTCAGGTGGTGTACGCACAAGGGTCCCTGCCCTCTTTCTGTCTCCCTGTCTCGCCATATAAGATCTTAAAAACCTTTTCCTCCTTCTCTTATAGGGAACTAGAGGGCTTGAGACCTCTTTTATGTCCTGCATTGACTCTGACCACAGTCCTTCTGTGCTCTCACAAGTGGAGCTCAGCCCTGCTTTCCTTCCTGTTGATTCCCAGTCAGCTGCATGGTAAGTTTCATTATCTCTGCTCAGTGCCACAAGGTAAAAGTCCTGACAGCCGCTGTGTAAAATCCATTAGTGCTGGGTGTGGATGGCAGACTACTGGATGCCCATCAAGGATTATTCAGTCATTTCCCAGTCCGGCTGTAAGGAGAGGGTGGTGGTATTGAATTAGCATTGGAGCTGAACTTCAGCATAGATTGTTATAGGCATAAAATATGAACTAAAATATGTGACAGAATTAAATCCATCAGTTCTAATAAAGGAAACAGTAGAAAGCAAAGAAATCTTGGACCCTTAAATCCCATTAACCAGGCCAGAGAGAAAATGTGTTAAAAGGGAGCTGCTCTGTATCTTTTTTCATTGTTTGATGAAATAATCTTTTTCACCCTTTAAGTGGTGTGTTTAAAAATCCTGGTATTTCTGAAACAAAGAGAATACACAGCCACCGAGCTAGCTGGTTTTTATACCTTCCTTTTCTGAGTATTGTCCTTCAGTACAATACAGAGCCATTTCTTTGTTCTTGCAAGCTAGCAGTTAAATTGTATGTAAATGTATGCAAATTAGATGCTGTCTAATAAAGAGAGTCATTAGATGGAAGAAATATTTAGTTTAGCAAAAAAAGAAAAGAAAAGAAAGCAGGTGTATTTTGCAATAGAAAATGTAAGATTGCAAAAAACCCCTCAAACTTTGGGTGAAGATTTCTAAAAAAGCTATTAAAATATTTTCTAAAAGGTCTACCCTACTCTTGGTCTTTCTGTGTGTGTGCAAGAGGGGGAAGAGAGAGGGAAGGAGAGATTACACACAAATGCACAAACTTGTATATTATACATTATACAGGCCTATATTTAGACACATGCATATACACAAATATTGGGCATGGAGATGATATAAATATTGAGCACAAATAGTATTTATATATAATATTTTTGTAAAATATTTATATCACCTCCACATATGATATGTAAACTCATGCATGCAATTATCAATTTGTGTTTTTTATATGCCACATATGTACAGGCGACATCTATGTAGTAAACTAATGTTTGACTTAGCAATTTATTTATTATACATTTTGTCTGGCTTACCAACATTCTGTTAATTAATCAGTCTCTCCTGGATTTAGTCTAATATTGTACGCCCTAAAAAGCTTCAAGCTTCCACCATTTTAATGATTTTTCTTGGTTCCCTTCAAACGTGCTGTTTCCTAAAAATAATCCTTTCTTGAGTGATGGGCAACATTCAGTCCTTTTGCTGGGTATAAAAAGACCCAGCTTAAAAGCCTGAAATCTTAGCATCCTAAAATGCTAGGGATTGGGACCTTTGCACCAACAAGAGGTGGAGAAATTTATAGTTGGAACATGCAGCACTCCCCAACCCCTAAACACTGTTAAGTAATGGAACTTCCATTTTTCCTTTTCCTAGAAACTAAAAGGCTATTTTTGATCATTTTGATAGCTTCTCTGAACTCTACCATTTTAGCCTGGGGACCCAATCTTGTAGTTATTTTGCTTGAGCAGATCAGCTTATGTAGGGTTGGGTCCTCACTGTCTAAAGGCACCTGTTGTTTTTGTGATCAGTTATCATGGTTCAGGCAGGTGAATAGATATTTGTGCTATGACTAGTATTTCTTTTTCATGGCAAATTTGAAAGGCTGGAAGTATATAGACATATATGCATATGTGTATAAAATATATGTATATAGAAATAATGTTGTTTAAATATTTACATATAAAGCCAAGGGATTGGACTCCTTCCCAGAATTACTGGAACTACCTTCCCCAGGAACATTTGGACTTGAATAATCTTGACAGCAACACTTTTCTTCTGAAACTAAACAACTTGCGAAAAGAGTGACTGGCTCTGGACGGCTTACTGATCACATGGGCTCTTTTTCTTATGCTGTTGTAGGGGCCTCCATGGTTGGGATAATATATTTTTAGTTAATTACACTAAGATTCCTTTTTGTTGCTCTGTTCCCCCAATGGCTTCATCTTGGTTTATTTTACAAGGGAACATCCTGGGACTGGCAGCATGGGAGTACTTTTTATAAACGTTCTAGGATATCTGGCATTGAGTATCCTGGGAGACAGGGGCCTTCTTAAATGTTTGGCCAAAGCCATGCAGCAGTGAGAGGTTTCACACAGTTTTCAACCAAACCAGTCAAAAAACTTAGCAGAATCTTTATATTTCCGGGGTTTGGTTCAAACTGAAAGCAGGGGGATTCAAACAGGAATGGAAACAGAAGCCACTCTCTTATCTTTCTATAACATGAGTTTGTCGCATGGGAGATGAATTGTACCTAAAGAAAGGAAGGCTGGCCAGGAGGTTAAGGGCATTAGTCTGTCACTTGAGAATGCAGCTGGAATACTGTGTCCAGTTCTGGGCGCCACAGTTCAAGAGGGATGTAGAGAAGCTGGAAAGAGTCCAAAGGAGGGCCACGTGAATGATTAGAGGTCTCGAGAACAGACCATACAAGAAGAAGCCGAGGGACGTGGGACTGTTTAGCCTGGGGAAGAGAAGACTCAGAGGGTACTTGGTGGCAGCCTTTAAGTATATAAGGGGCAAACATATAAGGGGCTAGGAAAACACCTGTTCACCAAGGCACCCCAGGGGAAGACTAGGAATAATGATCATAAACTGATAGTGGATTGCTTCAGATTAGAAAAAACATCTTAATGGTTCGTGTGTCCAGAGTCTGGAATAGACTCCCCCCAGAGGTGGTACAGTCACCTTCCCTGGGGATCTTCAAAGGATGACTGGATGCACACCTCGCTGGGGTCATCTGACCTCATCAGTCTTTACTGCCTTGAGCAGGCGGGCTGGACCTGATGATCTCTGAGGTCCCTTCCAGCCCCTAACTTCTATGAATCCTGGGTTTACTACCTACCACCAAACGAGTGACCTTGGGAAAATCATTGGATGCCAGCTCAACAAAGGTAGTGAAGCACCTGAGTATCTTTGAAGATGTTTCTTTCTGTGTCTTCATTCCTTATCTCTAGAATGGGTGAACAAGTACCACCTGACTTTGTAGTGAGTAATGTAGACTGTGTATGTGCCTGAGATGGATAAGGGTGCCAGCTCTGTGACATGGAGAATACCATACTAAGTCAGACGGATGGTTTATCTAGTCAAGTATGCTCCAACAGTGGATGTGATCAGCTACTTCAGAAAAAGCCTGAGGTGGACAGCTGTAGAATAAGCAATATTTTTGTCAAAGATCTGAAAATAAAAATAAAAGAGTAAATATTCTCAATTAGTTATCATGGCTCGGGATGGTTGTTAAAAAGAGTTTTAAAGAATAAAATATGCGGCACTAAACTAATCCTGGTGCTAACGAACAGGCTGGGGGGCTAGCAGCTTTTGATATTACCTAGTGCTTATTATTGTTATTATTATTATTTCTTTTTAATTATGCAAAGTGCTAATCAGTTTGATTATGCACAGTGCTAATCAGGTTAATTATGCAAAGTGCTAATCAGTTGTTCTCTAAGCACACGAGGAGAGCAGAGGTTCTGGCAGTGAATGGTGGTACTGGATGGGGGTAGTCACGGCAGTCATTCCTTATTAAGAGAAGAGTAGGTGAGATGACAGAGAGATTTTTGTCTCTTTAAAAAAAAATATGGAAGGAAAAAGTCATGAGGATCATGGTTCTGGAAGGGCAACGTCTTCTCTCTCAGCCAGGCAGGGGTTTTTTTGTACTGCCTGGTTGGGTTAGACAGTATGTGTTAGACTTTTAGAGGTTACCACTTGAACCAGTGAAAGAGAAAGGGGTGCTGTTGCTGGAGGACAGCATGAAAGAAAGTCTTGTCATCATCCAAATTATCTCTGGGGTGTTGGAATCCAAAGGCTTTCACTTGCTTGGGAAGCTAAAAATATTAAGGGAGTCCACCCAGCTATAAGCATCTCTGAAGCATGCATACTCAGAATGCTATGAGTGGTTCTTGGAAGACCGTTCACATTCTGTGTTTTCTCTAAGAAGAGTGTGCAGGAGAGGATTATCACCTGAGCAGTCAAAACATATTCTGTTAAGTAACATATCCACAAACTAAACTGTGTCTGAAAATATTTTAGGTGGGTCTTAACAAGGGGTCTTGCCTTACTCTGTAGTTGCTCTTCTTACTCTGTAATCATGGGTGAGTTACACATTTGAGTAAACCAGAACCTCCCCCTCTGCTGACAATTACTGCTAACTATTGTGCCTGATAGCTGACTGCTTTCTGCTCATTTTCTTTCATCTGAATATATCTTGCTGCTAATGTGAGGGTTCCTGTTCACTGTAGGTCTTGCAACTGGAACACAAGAGCAGAGAGTACTTGCAATTGTAACGTGTTGGGAAATGTATTGAAGATATTCTGGCGTAAACAAAAGACCATTTGATTATAATGAATTGAATACTTGAAGGGTCGAGCAGTAACAATATAAGGGAAGCAATGCTTGAAATTAACCATTAAAAATGGTTACTTAATGGGAGTGGTGCCAGATGTCCAAGTATATTTAAGCCCTGCCTTCCAAGTAGATTTAAAACAGGAATTAACATCCGCAGTTTATAGCTGAAGTTTGTATTTGAAAGTGGATGTACATTTCCTTGCTATTGAGTGAGCACCACCGACAAAACTATTACCATCTTAAGGGAAGGAATCTCACTTGGAAGAGAAGGATTTGCTGCCCATTAACTGGGCTTGCCCTGTCTGTACACTTTCTCTTTCCTTTTCTCTCTCACAAGCCTTGAAAATTACCATTCTAATATTAGGAATATGAAGTTCCCCATGCCACATTAGAGTTCATCATTAGGTTTGAGATCCTGACTTTGAAGAATAGTATGTTTACTGCAGAAGAAGGTGAAAAACTTTCTACACCGTGGCTGCTTGTATAAATACATTACGTGAGGAAGAAACATTCCTTTCTGATGCTAGTGCTAATGGACCAATGTTCTGAAGCAGAGGTTGACTTGACAGCATATAGCCTAGGGGCTGGAACTAGCTTGTGGAGCCCCTGGAACTGACCTG